TAAAAATGCGTGTATGCACTACCCCACGCGGGACACGTTCACGCACGCACGTAACGGTTTTACTGACATCTCGTTCTTACAGAGGGGCGTTCCATTCGGCGGCGGGCGGGGGGAGGAAGTGAGAAGGGGCGGGCCTTCTCGGAAGGATCGGAAGTCCCCCGCCCTTCCGATAAGTTGTTTTGAAGTTTTCCGGACAACTTCTCAGAAGGCCCGAGGGTTTTGAGAAGTCCCGCCGCCTTTTGACTAGGCCTTTTCCTTTTCATTTCCCCCCTCGCTCGCCGCCAATTCACAGCATACAGAAGCAAACAGATTTGCTCTGCTGCGCCGTGGGCTGCGCAAGTTGGCCCGAGTCCAGGCAAATGTGGCCACACGCGAGCCCCACCCCCTACCCCCCACGACTTCTGAGGGGCAGGGTGGGGTTCCCGTCGTTCGGGAGCTCTCCGGAGCAGAGTGACCCCCCCCCCCTCCCCCCTCAGAACTCGTGGGGGCCAGGGGGTCGGGCTCGCGTGTGGCCCCCTACCTGGGCCAAGGCACGCCGCGTGTCCTCGCCCGTGGGGCAGCTTGCCGCGCGCGCGCGTTGCGAACCCATGCCGCGTGCCAGGGCCACGCGCGGCCGCACGCCGCAAGGGAAGCACATGGGGAGAGGGGGCAGTGTTAAGTCGGGCCTGTCCTTCTACGGGGGGGAATGCTCGAACATAGTTGAACATAGTGTGGGGACTATTGTTTGATGATTGTTTGCCCATGTTGGGGCATGCTTCGACTTGTTTTCAGTTTTCCTTCACAGTCCCCCTGAAGGGGGACAGGCCCGACGTAAGGGTAGCGAGAGGGCGAGGGGGAGCGAGGGGAAGTAGGGCAGATGCAAGGGCCCGCCACAACGCTGTTTAGCTTGGTTTGGGCCCTTGTCTCGTTTTTCGTTGTCGGTGTTCGTTGTTGTTTTTTGTTCGATGTTCGTCGTTGCTTCAAACGCCCCGTTTCGTCGTTCGGTTTCGTCTGGCACCGGCTTCGTTCTAAACGTCCGTTTTGAACGTTGGGCCTCGTCTCGTTTTTCGTTGGGAGCGCCACGTCGTTTAAAACATCGCTGAGGTCGGTCCTTGGGCAATTGGTGCTGCAGGGGGAAAGTGGTGAACTGGAGGGAAGGAGAAGGCGATCGCCTGTGAGGGGCGGGTGAGGCAGGCAGACGGTAGCAGTGTCTCGGAAGGTCGGCACAGCCCTCCGCGCTCCTTGCCCGAGAGAGCGCCCGGCTGGGGCAGGTTGCGCTCCATCGCATGAAGAGCTTCGCCAGGGCCATGAAGAGGGTGCCCTCCCCCCAATACTTAGGATGCAGCTCCCGGTAGGTCAAATTCTGTTGTTGCACTGGTCCGAAGTCCGGCGTAATCCCGTTCAATCCCGCTTCATCCCGCTTAGTCCCGCTTAATCTGGCTGAATCCCGCTTAATCCGAGGCCCACTCTGGTGTAATAGCTCCCAAACGGAGCTTAATCCTCTTCAATCTTTCCGACGAAAACCTCCCAGTAGTTGCCTCCTAAAAGACTCTGGCGGATGCGTCTCCGTGTCTCTTGCCTCCCACGGATGCAGATGGTGCCTCGCCCTGTATGTTGTGTGTTGCAGGGCACTCGCCTTCTCAGGACGTGTCACACGGCGAAGATGATCACCACCCACCAAACCACCCCAACCCAACCCGAAGGCTCAAATTTACCGTCGATTTCCAGTGGGGGGGGGGTCGGGGAACATCGAAAAAACACGCGTGGAACCCTTACCCCCCCCCAACCCGAAATTCGGGTCTTCGGGTTGGGTTGGGGTGGTCTGGTAGGTAGTCAGATGACAAACGCCATAAGCATAACCATTTGGCGCGCCGCGCGGATCTCTTGCATCTGCGCTGGGGGCCCCCCGTCGGCGCTTCCGGCGCCGCCTCCTTGGCGCGCTCCGCGCGCCAGGGAGGCGAGCCCAGCGCGTCACCACCCACCAAACCACCCCAACCCAACCCGAAGGCCCAAATTTATCCTCGATTTCCAGTGGGGGGGGGGTCTTGGAACATCGAGAAAACACATATGGAACCCGTACCCCCCCCAACCCGAAATTCGGGTCTTCGGGTTGGGTTGGGGTGGTCTGGTAGGTAGTCAGCGCGGATCCAAGAAATCTGCGCGGAGCGCCAAAAAAGGTTATGTGCCTGCCGATGTTCGTCTACCACACTGGGCGGGCGCTCGAAAACAGTCAGGAGGGAAAGAAACACACAGACACAATCAATCGACGATTCCCCGGAACATATGGGAAAATATGGGAAGCGGGGGGAAGATAGAAACCCAGAAAATATGGGAAAATATGGGGGGTATTTATATTTGTGTGTATTTATTTGTGTGTCCTGGGGCCCCTTCAAACAGGCCTCGCCGTCAGGGGATCGAGAGAAGTGGACTTCTTTTTGCTTCGGGGCAGGGTGGCGGCAGGCCGGCAGAGGCCAGCACATCGGCAGAGCGGGGGCGTTCCCGTGAAGCCGAAGCTTGCGGACATCCGGGGGAGGACGGGGGAAGCCACGCGAGCTCCGCCAAGCGGCTCGTCTTTGGGATTCGCTGTGCTGGAGGTGTGCATGCAGCAGATCCCGTTGCTTTTCTCGCTCAATCTTTCGCAGGGCTTCACGTCTTCCTGTTACTTTTCTCGCTCAATCTTTCGCAGGGCTTCACGTCTTTCCATGCCGCCCCTCGCACCAGATGCCCAGGTCTACATGCAGTCGGGGCCCCGAAGAAGGAACCCTTTTTGGTTGGGGAGGGGCTCCGCGTTCCTTACGTGTTTCACAGCTTGCCTCAGGTTTTCCTTATGTTTTCGATCGGTCATCGAAGTTTAACTTATGGGAAAAAGGGGCTTTGTTCCTTATTTAGAGTTCCTTAGGTCAACGCCCCAACTGTACATGCGGGCATCTGCAGACCAGTAGGATACGCATTCCAGATCATCGATGTGGCTCCCCTCAAGGAGGGGGGTGGAAGCATGGCCAAGTGGTGACGTGCTAGGCGGACGTGCAACAATACCGAAGATGACAGACTCGGCCACCAAGCAAGACTTCACAGCAGCAGCGTTGGCACAGGGCATCTCTGCAGATCAAGGGCGAGTTCTCGTCGAGGCAGGGGGCGATTGGAGAGCTGATGCCTGCAATAAGTAAGTTCCAAGGGGCAGTGAGTCTTCAACAGTCTTGTTGCGAAACGAGTGCTCACATGGAACGACCGTATATGAGTTGTAAATATTGGGGGGATGTCTTTCCTGGCCGGAGGCGCGCGTCTGGGCTTCTTGGAGTTGCCAGGTTTCGTTGTGTGCGTCCAATGCGAGGCCAGCGACCCCAAAGGCCTCCAGAAAACGATTGGCTGAGGGCACAGTGCGGTCCGATATATGCCCTTTCAGAAGTAGTGAGCAGGCCCTTCAGACAGATGTTCGGCGCAGGTGTGCAGAACAGGCAGTACTCTCCCGTTGGCAGGGCTCGCTGCTGGGGTTATACTGCAGCATCTCCACCAGCACCCAGTCGCTTCGGCCTGCCGCATCGGATGTCTCACTGCGTGCGTGGATCCAACTCGGCGGGTAGGTAGTGGGGTTCGACGCAACATGGGGGTCTCAGCCAGAGCACCGGATCGGGCAGGATCCTGCAAAGCCAGATCTTGGCTGAGCAGGGTCAGGGAGCCGCTTGGGGCCCTGGAGGTGACCTTGCAGATTGTCCGAGTTGGGCTTGGGAAGCCGTCCCAACAAAAATGGCGCGCAGTGTTTTTTAGATTTGGTTCAGCGGAGTTTGCGCTAAGCTGGGCTAGCCCATGCCCGACCAATGCGCAGCTTGCGCGCAAGTTTTTGCCCCCAACCGCTCGTTCTGAACCGATGTCTTGTGTCGTCCTCGCGGGTGCCCAGGGCACCTTCGAGGGAACGGACGGGGACAACAAAAAAAACAGAGGAGGACCGGAAGGTGGAGGAGAAGCGACAGAGCGAGGAGGAGGTGACTGGTGAGGAGTTTTGTTCTGGGGAGGATTCGGGAAGGGCGCCCCGAGCGTGGTCCAGGTTCCCGACCTGCTCTACCTGCAGCGGCACCTGCCGACACTGGACCGGGGGAGGGTACGTGCGGCCCCGCTGCCCGGGTGTCGACTACACGTGAGAGTGACCCTTCGCCGGAGTGACCCTTGATGCGGGCCCATTTGGGTCCCCCGATCGCCGAACGCGATGCGATAGTAGCGTCTCGCGCGCTTGTGGTTGGTCCCCCGCGGCCCAGCCAAAGTCCGCGCACCAAAGGTCACTCTTACCCAGGGCCACTCCTGCGTGTCGCCGAGGGTGTTGCCCACGCGTGCCCCTGGCCCAAGGCACCCCCAGGATTCTCGAGGAGGCCCCGGCGGCCTCCGGAGCACCCCCCCACGAGGCCTGGAGCCCCCCCAGGGGCTCCAAAATGGAGCGCAGAACTGGGGGCACCTTGGGCCCGGGGCACTTCTGGCAACATCCGAGCTGTGGCGGCTGACGAGGCAGTAATGGTGGATAGTGCGTGCGTGTGCAGATCATGGCTCAGAGCGTGAATTACCTACCCCGCTTTCGCTTCCAGGCAAAACCAAGTCATACCACGCGCCTCCTCGTCAAGCGGCCTGACCAGTACAGGCCGTAGTTTGGCATCGTTTGGTATCTCTTGGAAGCGAGGGTGGTCAAAAGCGAGGTAGGTTTGCTTTCCCCCTAATGTCGCGCAGCACGGCGCGCACGGTGCTGGGGCAGCATACAAAGGCGTCACGCTCTGCGGCAGATCCTGTCGTTCATGGCGCAGCTGGTGCGACGGCTTCGTCCTCTCGAGCGTTATGCCTCATCCCCCTCACTCGAGAGAATTAGAGAGAGAGAGAGGGAGGAGGGGGGAGGCATTTTCCAATTTGGAGCACGGCTCCCCTACCCCCCCTGCCCCCTTCTTGACGCCACCCCCTCTCACGCACGGGGCGGGGACAGCCTACTTCATCCCCCACCCTCACCCCACGCTCACGTTCCCGTGGTGGCGTCCGCAGGCCATTTCTGCAGCCATGCGCACCTCGCATGCTGTGGTGCTCGCGCGCTACTATAGTGCCCGTGTGCATGTACAGTGACGATGTTTGGCACACCGCGGTGCTCGGAGGGATATGGCGACGCTCGCTTGCTCACTGCCTGCGCTCGCAGGCATTGCGGCGATCGCATGGTATCGTGGCGGTGGCAGGGACAGCAAAGTATAGCGGTCGCAGAAAGCACACCACATTGCAGTGTTCGCGGTCGCGCCGCGGTGTTCGCAGGCCCTTTCTGTGCCCACGGAGGACAACAAAATGAGGACGAGGACGTGGAGGAAGGAGGCCGCAGGGAGCTTATCACCAGCCGGTGTTGACACTCTCGGCCTCCATGTTGGCTCAAGCTTTCTCGGACAGCCATATCTTCGCCCCAGCTGCTCTCCTGGCATCCACCAAGGGGACGATGGCCCTCCGCTCCAGCGTGCTCCCGACGGCCGTCGTGGCTGCCGTGTGCCTCCTGGCGCTGCGCGGCCTGCTCGCCCCCAGCCCGAGCCAGGCCTTCGCTGCGCCCGAGGCCGGCCTTACGCAGTCGGTGCACCGCCAGTGCAGGCCCGTGGCGGGCGGCGACCGCGCCCCTGCCTACGGCGCTGCCCCGGCCGTCCTGAGCACCGTCCCGGCGCGCCCGGGCGTCGCTGCGCACTTCAAGGTGACGTTGGAGACGCCGGACGGCACCCAGGAGTTCGAGTGCCCGGAGGACGTGTACATCCTGGACCAGGCCGAGGAGGAGGGCCTCGAGTTGCCCTACTCCTGCCGCGCGGGCTCGTGCTCGAGCTGCGCGGGCAAGGTGCTGTCTGGCGAGATTGACCAGTCGGACCAGGCCTTCCTGGACGAGGACCAGACGGGGGAGGGCTTCTGCCTCACGTGCGTGACGTACGCGACCTCGGACGTGACCATCAAGACCCACTGCGAGGACGACCTGTAAGATACCGAGCACGCGGCCAGAGCACACCAGTGACAATGGTGCCGTTTTGCTCATCTGCCTCAGTCGATCCCCGTAACTTCAGCCCGAGCTCGGGCTAGCCTCATTGTTTGCAGGATTTTCTGACACTTGGGATGCGCTCAAGGACGCGGATGGCCCAAGTTTGCGTTTATAGCTGCGGAGTGGCATGGTGGTCACCGCCGGTGTTTGCCTGATCACGGGGGAAAAAAATCATGCTGCAGTGGACATTCTAGCGGCGTGTGATGTACACAGGCATGTGGCCCTCACAGGCACGTCGCATCGTGCACAGGGCCCCGTGGTCCTAGGAATATATTGGCGCTCGCAGGCAACATCTTGCTGCTGGCATTCCCAGGCTCACTGTTGCATGCGTTTTTGATGGGCCAATTTTCCACTACCATAATTTTTCACTTCCACTTTCCACTCCTCCTCCGCCTCCTACTCCTCCTCTTTGAGTACGTTCACTCCTCCTCCTCCTCCTCCCTCTCATACCTATGGTAGTGGTGGTGGAAAATCGGCCCATCAGTTCGCTGCTGTTGCCCGCAGTCGCACTGCGGTGTTCGCAGGCACGCTGTGGTTGCTCGCAGGCCGATGTGGCGCTCCCGGGCAGTTCTTGCAGCCCATCTGGATGGGGGAGGTGGCCGTGTCTGGCAGACTGCTGTGCGCACGCGTCTCAACGTTCTTGCCCGCGGGCGCGCGGATGGGGCTCGCGGGCACGCCTCCGTTCCTCGCAGGCAGGTTGCGGACGTCGCCGCCGTCGCACGTGCACTTCCAGGGCCCCATTCAGGATCCAGGAACACCGAGAGGTCGAAGGGCGACTCGGCGAACGTAGCGAGAAGTATGTGACGCCCAGGGATCGGTCCCTGCGTGTTGGCCCACAGAGCCTGTGCACGCCTCGCTTGCGGAGCCAGGGTGCACGACAGCGCAGGTGAACATCTGGAGTGCTGCAGCAGCAACATCCGTGTGCACCACTTCGCGTGTGTACACCACTCCGCATACGTACACCAGATGGCCTCTGCGCACAACGATGCCCATGTACACCACACTGCTTGTATACACCACTGTGCTTGTGTATACCAGAAGCGTGCGCAACGCCCAGTGCGACACGCCAGTTTCCGCCCAGAAACGTGCGGAAGGCGGGTGACCATCCGGCAGTGCTGCGGCCAGGTGTTGTTTTTCGACGTCCGCCTGCCGATCCGCATGCAATGCAGTCGGGGCCCTGAAGAAGGAACCCTTTTGGTTGGGGAGGGGCTCCGCGTTCCTCAAGTGTTTCGCAGCTTGCCTCAGGTTTTCCTTATTCGATAGGAAATCGAAGTTTAACTTCTGGAAAAAAGGGCCTCGTTCCTTATTTAGGATTTCCTTAGGTCAACGCCCCGACTGTACCGTCTCTTCTGCTGCCTGGACGCGTGGGCCCGTCGGGTGTGCGTGTGTGCGGTGCAGCGTGGCCTCGGACTCGTTCCGGGTCGGGGCGCATTGTGCCCTGCCCGAGGTGCGCTCGCGCTTTTGCGTTTGACCTCTAGAAAGTCCAGGTTTCGCTATAGGGACTGGCTCCCCCCCCTAAGCGACAAAAGCCATTCCAAGACTCGCCCAGAGCCCCCAAAACGACAAGAACCATTCCAAGACCCTCCCGGAACCCGCCGAAGAGCCTCCCGGAACCCTTCTGGAGGGTTTTCGGTGGGTTCCGGGAGGGTTTCGGCCGTTTTGAAAGGAAGCCAGTCCATAGCCAACCCTGGATTTTCCAATGTCACCTCCCTCCTCGCTCGCACTCCGACTCGCGTCGACGCCGCACCCTCCGCCCCGGTGGCGGGGTTCCCGCTGCGCTGCTGTCTGAGAACCTGGGCGCCCGTGCGGAATGCCCCCTCCAGCACTGCTGGGGGGGCCCCAGAGCTCTAGGCCTCCTAGACGGGGTCGGAGGATCGCGTCGCATCGCCGATGCATCGGCGATGCGGCTCGATGCGGAGCCCGATTTCCTTCACGTCGACGTCGCCGATGCATCGCCGACGTCGACGATGCGTCTTCGTTGCATCACCGATGCGTCGCCGATGCATCGACGATGCATCGCCGATGTATCGGCGATGTATCGGCGATGCGGCGCGATCCTCCCACCCCATCTACTCGGACCCCATCCAGGAGGCCTCCAAGAGCGCAGCCCACGGCGCGAGGACGCCATGGCGAGCGAGGCCCTCTCGCTCGATTCTCGAGCCTCCGCTCCTCGAGCCTCTGGCCTCGATCGATTCTCGATCCTCGATCCTCGATCCGCCTCCGGCACTGTCTTCCTCGGCCACCGCCCGCCTCGCACTGCTCGGGGGGGGTCCCGCGCCGGCGCTTAGCTGGCGATCGGCCGCCCGCGTGCCACACCGCCGCCGCCGAGCTCTGTTGGGGTCCGATGCGGCCGCCGCTTGCCGAACGGTACCCATACCTCTACCCTTCGTCCGTTTTTTCTTTTTTGGGCCTCCTCGGGGGCCCTCGTCGCCACCGCTGGATTTGCCTTGAAGTCCTAGTCAGAACGCACCCCGGGAGAGGTCTGGGGCGTAGCGGTATGGATACCTTTTGGGTTACCCATGGGGGTGCCTCGCGCGTTTGTGTTTGGCCCCCCCGTTACGTCCAAACAGCCGCGCACCAAAGGTCTGTCTTACCCGGGGTCACTCTTGCGTGTTGCCGGCGCAGAGCCCAGACATCCGACGTCGCGATGTTTTCGAGACACGGGCCCCCGACCTTCCCACCCCTTCCCCGGGACCGGCTGTTCAGCCCGAGTTGTTTTTTGACGGGCCCGAGGCCCGGTGAGGGCCCGGGGAGGCCAACAATTAAAAAAAACCTCCGTCTCGATTTTTTCAAGACGCCCGATGTCTGGGAGGGGAGATCCCCCGGGGCACCCCCCCTCCCGAGCCCGCCCGGCGCCCGAGGCCGATCGGCCGCCGAGTGGGCAGCGCGACAGCGGGCTCCGCTCCGACCGCGCCGCGGGCTCGACCTCGAGCCCACCTGGCGGCCGGGCGGGCTCCGACGCCGAGCGGGCTGGGGAGGGCGCGCTCTTCGGGCGGGGCTCGGACGAGGATGAATCTCAGAGATCCATCGCATTGAAAGAATCAAGACGGAGGTGTTTCGCAAAGTTCGGCCCCTAGGGGCCCTCGCCGGGCCTCGGGACCGTCAAAAAACAACTCAGGATGAAAAACCGGTCGTGAGGAATGGGTCGAGACTTCCGGGGACCCCGTATTGAACAAATCACGACGTCGGATCTTAGGGAATCCGTTCGAGAGCGTTCCGGAAGGCTATCGGAGCGATCTGGAACGCTCTGAGAAGGCCGCGGCGCCCGAGACGTTTTCCAGAGCCACCAGGTTTCAGATATTCTCGATTCCTCCTCGGTTCGTCTCAGCTCCCCAGACATCCGACGCCTCGATTTTTTACCAGACGCTGGCCCCAGACCTCCCGACCACCTCCCCGAGACCCGTTCTTCATCCCGGGTCGTTTCTTGACGGCCCCGAGGCCCGGCGAGGGCCCCGAGAGGCCAAAGACGACGAAAAACCTCCGTCTCGATGACGACGATTTTTTTCGACGATTTTTTTGTTCGACGATTTTATGTTCGACGATTTGTTGTGTCGAAGACGAGGCCAAAGACGATGTCTGGGTATGGGGCCGCGGGCAGGTCGACCTGGCCGCCGCCAGCGACGGCCCCGAGGCCTGCTAGGCGTCGCGAGCGCGGGGGCGCCCGCGCGCCGCTTCGGCGGGGGGGGCGGAAGGAGGAACAGCTGGCGTAAACTCGGGGGCGGAAAAGAGGGGGGTGATGACTAGGGGGGGTGGATATCATGGCGGGGGCCATGATATTTCCCCAGATTTTATGGCGCCTCTTGTTATTTCATTACGTCCCTAGCCCCCCCGCTGGGCCGCGCACATGCCGCCGGTCATGAGTTGCACCCCCCCTTTCTTGGACACCCCCCTCTTGGCCGCCCCCGAGCTTCGCCGGGGGGGCGGAAGAAGGAACAGCTGGCGTAAACCTAGAGTTCAGTCGGGCCTGTCCCTCTGCAGGAGGAGCTTGTGAGAGCAGTCCAGAAATGCAAGGGCGCCCTCGAGGGCGCGGAATCATTCGCGCTTCGCGCTTCGCGGTTCGGCTCCGATTCCTCCTCATCCTCCTCTTCTCCCCTGGCAGGCGGCGCCAGAGCGCGAAGTTGTTCGCACTTCGCGCTTCGCGCAGCGTGAAGCGCGACGTTGGGAGTCCTTGGAAAGAATCTGAGGACGATCTGTTCCGCAGTGTTTGGCAATCGTGGGTGTCTTGTTTTGGTGTTTTACATGTTTTTTCGCCCAGGAGCCCCCTGCAGAGGGGCGCCTTTCTTTTGATTTGTGTCCCCCGAATGCTGGCCCCCCTCGTGGCAGAGAGCTTGGCACGGCACGTCTCGTTGCCAATCGGTCGTCGCCGAAGCAAAAATGAGGCCCCCTGTATCGGGGAAGAGTGGGATGTCGTCGTTTTGACGAGGAGGAGTTTCGTGGGATGTCTGCAGCGGGAGGCCTCGTCAAAATGCAGGCTCGGCCTCGTCATTTTTTTGACGACCTCGTCGGGGATCTCCGAGTCCCCTGTACCAGGGTCTTACGCCCCCCTGACTGTATAGGGGGGCGGGCCCGACCGCAGCCTGCAATGGCTGGAGGTCCGCGCGGAGTGCCGGGAGCCGCGCCGGGCCCCCCGCCTCTCTCGCCCGCCGCGCCGCGGTCCGTGCCAATTCCGGAGGGAGAGAAGCACACAGTCATAGATGATCGTCGGCTCCCAGGGGAAGATGGGAACATATGGGAGGTGGGGGGGAAGACGAAAGCCCCGAAACTCTTGGAATCTACGGGGGATCCTGCTATTTGTGTGTGTGTATATATATATATATGTGTGTGTGTGTGTGTGTGTGCGTGTTTGTGCGTGTGCGTGTGTGCGTGTGTGTGTGTGCGTGTGTGTGTGTGTGTGTGTGTGTGTGTGTGTGTGTGTGTGTGTGTGTGTGTGTGTGTGTGTGTGTGTGTGTGTGTGTGTGTGTGTGTGTGTGTGTGTGCGTGTGTGTGTGTGTGTGCGTGTGCGTGTGTGTGTGTCAGGGCCCCTTCAGCCAAGGAGCACCCCGCTTGCCTCCCAGGTGCCCTGGGCTTCTCGCATCTCGAGGGTTCTACGACGGCAAGCGTGGCGTGCCCACGCAAAACGTCGGTGGACACCCTGGGGTCTCAGGTTCGGGCTTCTTGCTTGAAGAT